AATCGCGGTGGTATTGCTCAGTTCTGGGGGGGCGGTGGGGGGGGCGCGGGGGGCATGCCAAAGGGGGGCATGGCGGGCACCCCCATCCCCATCATGGTGACGAAGTTAGAAGGGTCCATGGGGGGGGGCGGCGGGGGGGGCGGGGGTGCGTACATCATGCCCCCGGAGCCAGGGGGTGGCGGGGGGGGCGGTGGGGCCCCGGGGGGCAGTGGGGGTTGGACCCCGGGGGGCAAAGGCACCATGGAGGGGCTGCCGGGGAGTGGGGGGGCTCCCGAAGAAGCTGCCCCCCCCCCCCGCCGCCCCCCCGCCCCCCCCTGCTGTTGCCATGGGGGGAGGGAGCCGCTGCCAGCGCTCGTGGTGGTCGTCGTATCTGTGGGGGGGGGTGTAATTAATTAATTAGTGTTAATTAATGCCCCCCCCCCCGCCCCAAAAGAGGTACTCACTTTGCTGCCATGGCAAGGGGGTGCTGCTGCTGCTGGGGGGTGGCGGCGGCTGCTGCTGCCAGGGGGGGAGCGGGCCGGAGGGAGGGGGCGGCTGCCCACCGGGCGGGGGGGCGGGGGGGGCAGCATACCCAGCGGTGGAGGCATCATACCTGGGGGGGTGAATGGGGGGGGGTTAGAACAGGGGTTGGGGGGGTTTGAAGGGGGTTGAAGGAGGATGGAGGGGGTGAAGGGGGGGTTGAATGGGGTTGGGGGGGTTAAGAAGGGGTTTGGAGGCATTTAAAGGGGTTTGAGGGAGGATGGAGGGGTTGGGGGGGGTTTGAATGGGGTTGGGGGGGGTTTGAATGGGGTTGGGGGGGGTGAGAGGGGGTTTGGGGGCATTTAAAGGGGGTTGAAGGAGGAGTTGGGGGTGTGAAGGGGGGGTTGAATGAGGTTGGGGGGCTTGAGAGGGGGTTGGGGGGTGTTTAAAGGGGTGTGAGGGAGGGGAGGAGTTGGGGGATGGGGGGGGTTTGAGATGGGGTTGGGGGGGGGTTGAGGGAGGATGGAGGAGTTGGGGGGTGAAGGGGGGGTTTGAATGGGGTTGGGGGGGGTGAGAGGGAGTTTGGGGGCGTTTAAAGGGGTTTGAGGGAGGATGGAGGAGTTGGGGGGTGAAGGGGGGGTTGAATGGGGTTGGGGGGCTTGAGAGGGGGTTGGGGGGTGAATGGGGGGGTTGAATGGGGTGGGGGGGCTAGAGAGGGAGTTTGGGGGCATTTAAAGGGGTTTGAGGGAGGATGGAGGAGTTGGGGGGGTGAAGGGGGGGTTTGAATGGGGTTGGGGTCTTGAGAGGGGGTTTGGGGGTGTTTAAAGGGGTTTGAGGGAGGATGGAGGAGTTGGGGGGGTGAAGGGGGGGGCTGAATGGGGTTTGGTGGCGTTTAAAGGGGTTTGAGGGAGGATGGAGGAATTGGGGGGTGAAGTGGGGGGTTGAATGGGGTTGGGGGGCTTGAGAGGGGGTTTGGGGGTGTTTAAAGGGGGTTGAGGGAGGATGGAGGAATTGGGGGGTGAAGTGGGGGGTTGAATGGGGTTGGGGGGCGTTTAAAGGGGGTTGAGGGAAGATGGAGGAGTTGGGGGGTGAAGGGGGGTGCGTGAATGGGTTTGGGGGGGGTGTTGGGGACCCACCTTTTCCCTGGTGCAGGCGATAGACCCCAGAGCCCACCGGCGCATTGCCCAGGTACTGATCTTGGGGGAATGAGAGACCGTCGCCTTAGCGAGGGGGAGATTCCCCCCCCCCCCTTCACCCCCAAAATCCATCCCATAAATACACACCTCGCCCCAAAACACTTCCCAGGTTCTGAACTTTGCTGGGAGGGGGACCGTAAAAAAGGCTTTTTTACCCCAAAATTCACACACACCCCCTCCCACCCCGGGTCTTATCTTCAGAAGCTGCAGAAACCATCACCCCTTAGGGCTGAGGGGTGCCAAGCTCTCCACGTTACACCCCAAAACCCCCCCTGACCAAATCCTCCCCTCTTCACCCCAAAACATCCCAAGCTCGTCTTTGAGGTAACAGAAACCACAATTCTTTTTGGGGGGGGGTCGCCATAAAACCCCCCCTTTTCACCCCCAAATTACCCCCCATCCAGGATTGTCCTTACCCATGTGGTGGGGCCCCGGGTGCCCAGGTGGGTGGGGGCCCTGCCCCATAGGGGGATGATGGGGCTGCATCCAAGGCGGGGGCCCGTTGGGGTTGTGCTGCAGGGGGTGTGCCCCGTGGCCCCCCCCCATGCCAGCCATGGGGTGGGGGAAGCTGTGAGGCCCCCCTGGGCCCCCATGCATCCCGTGGTAGGGGCGGTTTTCCGACGGGGTGGAGTTCATCCAGGGTGGGCGGCTCTGGGATGTGGGTCGGGAAACAAAGAGGGATGTCAGGGATGTTTTTGGGGGGCAGGGGGATTTGGGGGTGTGTGTGTAGGGGGGTACTCACGGGGGGGGGGCTGGCTGCTGGCCTGGTTGGCAGCGCGGTGGCTGCTGGAGAGGGGGCTGTTGTTGTGGGCAGCGTTGGAGCTGACCGAGACCGGGGCCTCCCCCAGCTCCGCCATCAGTGACAGGTACTCCTTGTCCATGCGCGCCTTGTCCTGCGCTGACTGTGGGTCCCCGGGCCTGGGGGGGGGGAAAAAAGGGGGGGCAAAGGGGAGGGGGGGGGAAAGGGGGTGAGTTGGGAGGGGGGGGCAACACCCCCAAAAGCAACGCAGTGGAGCACCGACCGCCCCCCCTCTCCGTTCCCCCTTGCGCTCCTGCTCCATCCCTTCCTTTAACCCCGAACCCCTTAAAGAAAGTGGGGAGCCCACTGTGCCCCCCCCCACCCCACCCCACCCCAGGGGATGTTATGGGGGGGGGAGTTTGGGGGGGTTTTGGGGTGCTGGTACCTGGCAAACTTGCAGTCGGAGGCGATGTGGCCAGCACCACCGCACTTGGTGCACACGGTGGTGTTGGTGATGCTGCGGGTCTCGGTGCTCTGCCATGGCCGCAGGATGCTGGGGGGGGAACATGGGGTGGGGGGGTTAGGCTGGGGGTCCAGGGGGTATTTTGGGGTGTATAGGGGTACTTTAGGGCTTAAAGAGGGGTATTTGGGGGTAAAAGGAAGTATTCCGGAACAGTTTTGCGCTGTTGGGGGGTTATTTTGGGGTACAAAAGGGTATTTTGAATTGTTAGGGAGTTATTTTGGAGCATATGGGGACGCTTTGGGGTGCGGGGGGGGGTTATTTCAGGGCACAGGGGGCAGCGATTTTGGGGTGCTGAGGGCTATTTTGGACTGCAGGATGGGTTACTTCAGGTGGGGATAGTTTGGGGGCTGCAGGGATGGGGGGTGTGTGTCATTTTGGGGTCTAAAGAGGTATTGCAGGCTGCAGGGGAGTTATTCTGGGGTCCAGGTAGGTCTATTTTTGTGTCCACAGGGTTATTTTTGGGTCCAGGGAGGTATGTTAGGGTCCAGGAAGGGTAGTTTGGGGTCCAAGGGGGTTATTTTTGAGTCTGGGGAGCATTTTGGGGTCTGGGGGTTACTTTGGGGTCAAGGGTGGTTATTTCGGGGGGCAGGTTGGAGTCTGTGGGCTATTGTGAGGTCCAGGGGGGGGTATTTTGGTGTCTGTGGGTTATTTGGGGGGTCCAGGGGGGAGGATTTTGGAGCCTGGAGATTATTTTGGGGTCCGTGGCGTTATCACCCCAACACAGACCGGTTGTCATCCTCCCGCAGGGTCCCGTTGAGGCGCGCCAGCTCCCGCAGCTGCATCTTCCTCAGGTCGTTCTGGTCCTCGGGGGTCTCGATGCCTTGCTTCAGGATGTTGCGGATCTGAGGGGTTGGGATGGATGAAGGTCAAACAGGAGCGGAGGAGCTGTGTCCCCCCCAGAAACCTTGGACACCCCCACCCCACCCCATACCTGCTCCACCGCCTTCTTGACGTTCTCCATGGTGTTGGCGGTGACAAGGGCATGCAGGGGCTCGTCCTCCCCCGGCAGCATCTGCCCGTCCTTGCGGCCAACCTTGCCCTCCTTCACCGAGCCCTTGCCCCGGATCATGATCTTGGCATTGCATTCCTTCTCAATGTTCTTCAGCGTGTTCCCTCTGTGGGGAGAGTCACCCATGGGGAATGGGGCAGGGGGGGGCACCCCAAGGGTCTGGCTGGGGTGGGTACCATAGGGCTCAGGGAATGGGGAGAATGAGAACGGGCTGGTGGCTTGGTGTCATTAGGAGTCATTAAGACCACACACACGCCCCATTTATGAAACACTGCCCGCATGCAGGGGAAGGGGTCACCCACCCCAAATTAGGGGGGAGGTACCCCATAAACAGGGCAACAGGAAGCCAGTGATGCTCCAGGATCACCAGAAGCCTGACCTCAGCACCATTAAGAACCCCCGAAAAGCTAAGCAGAAACACCAGCACTATCAGAAGCCTCATTAGCACCCTAGCAGTAAGGGCCTACTCTCATTCATTAAGCACCTGACACCATTAATATCCCCCCCCCGCCCCAGTTTTGGGGGTGTCACCCACCCACATACTGTAACCCCCACCCCAGTCTCACAAGTGAGGAGTTGGGGGGCAGCAGCACCCTGGCTTCATCAGGAGCCTGGCTCCCTGCCTTCATTAAGTAGCCAAATTTGGGGGTGTATTGGGGGCCACAGACCCACCTGGGCCCAATGAGGAGCCCCACGAAGTTGATCTCGGGGTACTCATCCTGCGGGATCATCACCTTGTCGCTCACCCGTGTCGCCGGCGGCCTGGGGTGAGAAAACAGCATTAAAACATCACCTAAACCCCAAAACGGCCTGAATTAGCCCCAAAAACGTGTGTGTGTGTGTGTGTGTGTGCCCCTCACTTGTAGTCGGCGGGGGGCTTGAAGTCCGGGTTGAGGGCCACCATCTCGGTGATGAGGTTGTGCCGCTCCTCCTCCAGCTTCTTCCGCGTGCGGAACTCGCGTGTGTTGAGCCGCTTCCCCTCGCTGTTGTAGATGGGCTCTGGGGACGGGGACCTGGGGGGGGGGACACAAGGGGTCACCCCGCTGCCCCCCTACCCCCCGTATGGGAGGGCTTGCACCCCCCACATCCCCCCATCTGCCACAGCCAGCACTGGGGCTGCCCCCAATGGGGGGGGGGGGGAACTGGGGGGGTTGTTAATTACCACCCAATGAAGGGCCAGCAGAGCCCCCCCCCCCAAAACCAGACTCCTGTAACCCCGTTTCTCTCCATTTCCCCTCCCTACAGGCGAGTTTTGCCCCTTTCTGCCTGTTTTTGAGGCCTCGGTTTGCCCGTTTCACTGCTTTTTAAGAGGAAAAGCTTCCAGGCTTTGGGGGTTTTGGTGTTTTTTTTTTGGGGGGGAAGCTTTTGGGTCGGTTTATTTGCTTTTTGGCAGCAGCAGGTAAAGCTACGAAGGGAAGAGTCAAGGTTTAAGGGGGAGAAAACTCACAAAGGATTAAAAATGAGAATGAAAAATGAGAATTATCATCAATTAAAGGAGAATATAAGAAAAAAAATGTCACAATCCCGCAGCTTTGGTGAAATTATGGACCTTTTTTTTGGGTTTTTTTGTACGTTTGTGGCTTTTTTTTTGTTTTTGTCCTTAAACCTCCCCAAATCGTTAATTTTTATAATTTTTTTTTTGGATGAGGCTGCAAGAAGGGAAAAGATTATCCAAAAATAAAAATGAAACTGAACGTCTCCCGGGCGGCAATCGGAAACCTGCACCCGTCTTGGGGTGAAAAAGAGACTTTTCTGCATTAAAGCCAGTTGGCGGCACCGTCCTCGCGGCCTAAAGGGAACTGTGGACACGCGAAACGAAAGGTCAGCTAATCACTGCTTGTTAATGACCAATTCAGCACAACTCGTCCCGTTTACCACGACCCCCCCCCCCCTTCAACCGCCGGTACTGAGCGCTAACGACGCCCCCGTTGGTTAACGTTGCGCCGGGCCCTGGCGCGCTGCAGGAGCAAGGCAGGGTTATTGTGGATTTTCCTGGATTTCACCCCAAAATCCAAGCGCCGGGCGGCTGGTGTTGACCTTTACACCCTGTTTCCCCCCCCCCCCCCCCCGCCATCATCCATCTCAGCCCCCTCCTTCCCACCACCACAACCGGCTCCGTTAGCGGCCGCTCAGCAGCCGGTACCGTGGGGTGAGGGCCCCCCCGCTGTGCCCCGCCGTGGGGAGAAGTGGCTCGAAAACGGGGTGGTGGGGTGGGGGGGGGAAAGGGGTGGGGAAAAAGGAACAAGGGCAAAGGGAGGAGCTGGAATTTGACCTCTTTGTGGGGAGGGAAACGGCGGAATTCATCCTCCCGGAGCCGATTGGAACCGAATGGAGGGGAAGGGAAGGGGGCAGAGCCCATCCGGGTGCAGGGTGCGGGAGGCGGGGCATAGCGGGAGCCCTGACCCCGGGGCACGGCCCCCCGGCCGGGTGGAGCCTCCTTTAGGAATCATCATCAGAACGCCAAGAAATGATCAAAACCACAGAAAGCGCCTCCAAAAGAGCAAGGGGAGGGGCGGGGGGAGGCGAACGGTTACTGTCAGGTGAAGGGTCCCAACCTGTCCTCAGGGTTAGGGGGGATGCCCAGGTCTCCCGTGCGCAGTTTGCGAGTCAGGTCTTCGATCTGCAGTTGCACTGGAAGAAACCCGGTTAGGACAGAAAAAAGGGTGGGAGAAAAGACAGAGTTACCAAAAAAAGGACATTATTTGGCCAAAACAAGACATTCTTAACCCAAAACCCTGACAGTCTAAGCGAGAGAGGCACATGGCTGCCCGATACACAGGCATTTTAACCAGGAACGGCACGTTCTCACCCAAAACATAGGCGTTGGTACCAAAGAAACAGCCGTTATTGCCCTAAAGCCAACAACTGTTACAAAAAATGTACATTGCCAGCCTAAAATCAGACATTATGGCAAAAAAATAAGCATTGTTAGCCTAAAATCAGACATTAACAGCCTAAAATCAAGTATGATTAGCCTAAAAATAAACCAAGCATCAACAGCTTAAAATCACATATTATCAACCTAAAATCAAGTATTAGCCTAAAACCAAACGTTAATAGCCCCAAAATGAACATTAACAGCCTACAGTCAGCCATTACTAGCTTAAAAATAAGCCTTTATAACCTAAAATCAGACATTAGCCTAAAAAAGATTAATAATCTAAAAATAAGCATTAATAACCTAAAACCAGATATTAACATATGATAAACATTTACAGCCTGAAAATACATATTTATAGTCTAAAACCAAACATTTATAGTCTAAAACCAAACATTTATAGTCTAAAAACAAGGATTCTTGACCTAAAATCAAACATTAATAGCCTAAAAATAAACATTAGCAGTCCAAAAATACACATTAATACTGTAAAATCGGGTGTTAATAGCCTAAAAATAAACATTAATACTCCAAAACCAAACATTAATAGCCTAAATTCAAGCATTATCACAAAAAAAAGAGGCATTATGGCCATAAATCCAGCCATTATTACCAACAAAGGTTAAAGGTAAGCCCAGATGTTGTTACCAAAGAGAAGTGTTTTCAACCTAAAACCAGACGTTATCAGCCTAAAACCAACCATTATTAACCTAAAACTAAGCATTATTAGCCTAAAAGCAGTAATTGCTTCAAAAGCCACCCGTGAGCAGCCTAAACCTGGTGTTACCAGCCTGGAACCAACCGTTATTGCCCCAAAATCACCATTATTGGCCTCAAATAAATCAAAATTAACGTTATTCACCTAAAACCAAACGTTAGGATGAAAATAATCTGTTGTTATCGCCAACAATAAACGTTATGGCCCCAAAAATCCAATCGGATCACCCAAAAAAGCACATTTTTAACCGCAAATCTTAGTATTTTCATGGAAAAAAATCCCGTGCTCTTACCCAAAACCCCAGATTATTGCTAAGAAAACACACATTAACACCTCAAAAACCACACTGGTACCTTCAAAACAAGTCTGATGAACCTAAAATGGATGTTTTCAACCCAAAAACGTATCTTCCCAACCTAAAAACCGCGTTACTGCCAAACCAACAGGTTCTGACCCCAAAAAGGAGATGGTTATTGAAAAAGGTGATTCTTACCCCCATAAAAGGTGGTTATTGCCCCAAAACAAACACTGCTACCTAAAATCAGCTAAAAATTCACATTATTGCCTAGAACAATCATACGGTTGCTTCAAAAACACAAGTTATTGGTTAAAAATGCTCAATTACCTCAAATAGCACATTATTACCTCAAAATGTGTTATTGGCTCATCAAATCACGGTTTTGACTCAAAAAGCGACGTTTTTACTTCAAAATACCATGTTATTCGCTCGTGGAATCACATTTTTTACTCAAACCCCACATTTTTACCTCAAAAAGTCACGCCGTTACCTCATAAACTCATGCTTTTGACTCAAAATCCCACGTTTTTGCCTTAAAAGACCATGTTATTACGTCATGAAATCACACTGCACTCAAAAAACACGTTTTTACCTCAAAACATCAAATTGTTACCTCACAAAACACGCATTATTGCCTAAAATTGCTCAATTTTACCTCATAAAACCACGTTGTTATGTCAAACAGCACGTCATTGCCTCATGGAAACAAGCTTTTACCTCAAAATACCATGATTTCACCTCAAAATACCATGTTATTACCTCATGAAATCACATTTTTTTACTCAAACCCCGCATTTTTATACCAAAACACCATCATAAAATATACATTAACTAAAGTTGGTTTTAACCTCACAAAGAACATTGTTACATCAAAACATCACATTATTGCCTCATAAAAACACATTTTTACCTCAAAAATACCTCGATTTTACCACAAATATCACGCATTTACCTCAAATATTACTGTTTTACCTCAAACACCACGATTTTACCTCAAAATATCACTTTTTTTCTCAAAATACCACGTTTTTACCTCAAATCTCATATTTTTACCTCAAAATACCACTTTTTTACCACAAAGTATCACGGTTTTACCTCAAAACTCGTCTTTTTACCTCAAAATACCACATTTTTACCTCAAACTTTGTCTTTTTACCGCAAAATACCTCGATTTTACATCAAAATATCAAGGTTTTACCTCAAAACATCTCGGTTTTACCTCAAAATATGTCGATTTTACTTCAAAATATCACGGGTTTACTCCAAATTTTGTCTTTTTACCTCAAAATAGGTCGATTTTACCTCAAAGTATCACGTTTTTACCTCAAAACATCTCGGTTTTACCTCAAAATATCACTTTTTACCTCTTAATTTCGTCTTTTTACCTCAAAATATCGCGTTTTTACCGCAAAACATCTCGATTTTACCTCAAAGTATCACGTTTTTACCTCAAAATATCACTTTTTACCTCAAATTTCACCTTTTGACCCCAAAATACGTCGATTTTACCTCAAAGCATCCCGATTTTACCTCAAAATACCTCGACTTTACCTGAAAACTTGACGTTTTTACCTCAAATTCCGTCTTTTTACCTCAAAATACCTCGATTTTACCTCCCAATTCCCCGTTTTTACCTCAAATCCCACCTTTTTACTCAACCCCCTTGTTTCCCCCTCCCGGGGACCCCCCTCCCCTTGGCTCGGGTCTCCGGTAACCGGGGCGTGCGTGGGGCCGTTACCGATGTAGGCGCGCTCCTGCTCGCGGGTGAGCCCCGGCGGGATCACGGTCGGCATGCCCGGGATCACGGTCTTCTGGTCCAGCGAGTCCTGGTTCCAGCGGCTCCGCTTCCGCTTCCGCGGGAAGTCTGCGGGAACGAAGAAGGGGGGGGGGTGGAAGGAAAAACCGCCCCGGGATGGGAACCGGCGGCGGAACCGGGACCCCCCCCCCTTCTCCCGCTTCCATCCCCGGTCCGTACCTGACCTCCGGGCCACTTTGTGCGCGGCTCCCGCCCGCGCGGCGGCTTCGTTCTGCGGCCCCGCTCCCGCTCCCCCCCCGCCGGGCCCGCTCTCATCCGGGCGCTGTTGGAGCGGGGCCGCCGGCGGGGCCTGCGCAGGGCCCCCGGGCTGCGGTTGTTGCTGCGGAGGAGGGGCTGGGGGAGCGGCGGCCGGCGGGGCCGCTGCTGCCTGCGGAGCCTGTGGCGGGTCGTGGCCGGGCGGTGGCGAAGGGAAGCGGTACTGCCCGTAGGGAGCGGCGCCGGGGGCCGGCGGAGGCTGCTGCGGGGCGTTAGGGGCCGAGGCCGGCGGCTGCTGCTGCTGCTGCTGCGGGGCGGAGGCCGCCTGCGGTTGTTGTTGCTGCTGCTGCTGCGG